GAAAAAGACAAGTGGTAATTGAAAAGATTAGTTTTAAATAATTTTGTATGAAAAAGACGCAAGAAATATTTAGTAAGCAATTATTTAAAAGCTTCTACAAATAAGTGCTTATTAAAAGTAAAATAAATATTTGTTTATTTTATATAATACAATTTCCTTTAATAATCTAAAAAATAATGAATATGGCAACAACGTATTACTGCAGTAGTTGGAAGTGCCGGGCATCCGCAAAACTGCGGCAACATTACTTTCTTAAAGTTTCTATTGTGATTTCCGTGTTTTAAACTATAAAATAGAATATCTGCTTAATTTAGCTAATTTAAAACTTTTATGCATTCAAAATATATGTTTATTCGCAAGGTGCAAAGTATATGGTAGGGACAGTCGAATCGACAGCAGCGTTCGCAGTGGACAAAGTAGGCATTAAATCTGGATTTTGTTGTGAATAAATTAATAAAAGAATTTAAATATCTCATGAACGGTTGGATTTACGAAAATTTTTCGTTTCTGCTAATTTGTAGAGAACAGTTTTCTCCGTCGAATGGTGAATAATTAATTTTCCTAAGGTTATTAGTTTTTGAGTTTTAACAAAAATTTAAATTGAATTACTTTTAACTTTTAATTATTACGCCATTATATCAAAAACTATTGAGTTTTGGAAAATTTTGAACGAATACAAATTTGTTAATCATAGTTTTTTCTTGCCAACAAAGCAATTCCTATACTTTAATCTTTAACCATTCAGAAATAATAGGGATAAATCTTCACGGCATACGATAGCCTGAATATGACAAAATCGCTAAGCAAAATACGGTTTGTTTTTCTCGGTCTTTTGACGTTTTGACAGTTAACCGTACTTATTCTATACGAAAAATGGGGCATTCTACTTGTTGCGTTGTGAATTTCAAAAATACAGGCAAAAATAGTAGTTGCAAATTTTATACATTTCCAACTGCAAGTTGGAAATTAGAAAAAAGAGCGAAATGGATAGAAGCAGTTAAAACAAAAAAGTAAGTAATGTACAACCTAACTTTACCTTTTCTTATAATTAAAATAATATTTTTATAGTCTTGATGGATCACCGTGGATTCCAAAACCAAATGATTGCATTTGTAGCGATCATTTTATTGGAGGTAAAAAATCAGAAGAGGAGGCAAGTCCGCGCATTTTCTAAATTCTTTCACTTCTCTGACATGATTTGCCCTTACCAGTTGTTTTCCTTTGTACAAAGTTTTAGGTTGAAACAATATCTCTGTTTGAATAATGATGTTCATTGGAAGAGAATTTATTAAAAAATATTAATAGTTTAAATTTTTAAACTAACCTTTTTTTGACAGTTAACCTAATAATATTCTTATGTTCTTCTTTATTTTTGGCCTTTATCTATTCAGCATTATTTTATTTAAAATAAAATGCATTTTATACTCATTAAAATTACTTATATTTACTTTTGTTAATCGCGATATGTAATATTTACTATTTATTTAATATTTATCACGTATTACACTTATATTTCACGGCGATTTTCTTTTTATTTTGTATTTATAAAAATTTTACATGTAATTCATCATTGATAGGGCCAGATTTAATGCGGTCACACGATGTCGCTTCCTTCGCGCACCCGGCGAATAGGTTACAAATTGAGTGTTTTAAGTAAGTTAGTTTTATGTGCTCAAAGTGATTTACTTAACATAACCAAAAACAGGGTAGTTTCAATTATTAATATTACCGATTTTAATTTTATGCACTAAAATTAACAATTATTTTGAAATTTGGGTAATAATATACATTTGAGGTACATTTTAGTGTAATAAAAGTTGATTGTTACTTCAAAAGGATAACCTAGTCAGAGATAAGGGATATAAAGATTGGAAACGCAACGATCCCAGCAACGATAGCGTCATCTGTGAGTCTCAGATGTTACTGAAGATATAAGTCAGGTCGTTTGTAGATAGACAGTGTAGGAGCACCATTTATGGCCATCTTAAAGTATCCCGGAAATTGAAAAAAATCGTAAAAAATCAATAAAATTACCATACGGGTCTGAAAATTAACCAGAGCAAAGTAATATTTTTAAATTTCAGTGGTTTTAAATCTAAACAATAGGGTTTATTTGATACCATTTTTTAAAACTTGGAATACAAAAATATTAATTTTGATCCATTTATGGCCACTCAGTTCCTAATGTGACCTTTGTAAGAGCCACTTTAGTTATTTCATCTAAAAGGCATCAAATATATCTAAATTTAAAATTAAAAAATTGTTTTGACAGTTTTCATTCGTTAAATACTAGAATAACATTAATTTTAAAAGTATGGTGTCTTTTCATTTCTTCAATGAAGTAGAAGCCTTTTTTTTAAGTACGTATGTTGAACTTTCTCCATACTATTAATTTTGTCATAACAGATCTCGTTATTTTTTCTGACCATTTCCAATAATTTTCATTAACTAGTACCTACTTGATTTTCTTCTTCTATTTTACACATACATATTTCCATTGAACCCATGTCACCAATATTAAAATTTTATTTTATTAAGTTTGTAATTTGCCTTTTTTCAGATAATCTTTTAGATAATCAATTTCTTTGTTTTTTTTGTAATATTTTCCTATTTTTTCTATTATCGAATGACTTTGATTTTAGTTTAAATAAAAATTTCCCTATTGCTTTAGTTATTTTGTCAATTCGTTCTTCACTAGTTATGTTTTCTTTGTCGGAACTAGATGAAATATTACACTGAAAGATCACTTTCGGCCTCTTTTGGATATTTTTTGTTTCTTTAATAAAATTTTTTAATTGAAAAATAAATACTTTCGCGACATGCTGGAAAACCCATTTTAGCTGTGCATTTTATCCATCACCTGTTTCTACAACTTTCCCTAATACTAGACTTATGCTGAATTGTTATTCTGGAAAACTTACAAATGGTGCTCCACAGCTCTTAGGCCGCATAAAGCTCATTGCACATTCTCCAGGGGCATACAGAACCTGCCTCTCAACTTGCTGGTTGTGGCCATCTTCCCAGCTCATCAAAGGTTATCAACTCGTCAAAAACCTACTGGTTAACGATGATACCCATATTTTCAGCTCGTCAAAGTCCTGCAGGTTATTAACTCATCATAAACCCGCTAGGGGGTATCAAGGGATAGCCAGCCTCCCAGGTCAAAGTCCTGCAAGTTAATAACGTCGCCGAGAGGTGTATAGATGCTCAATTTTTAGGAAATGACCATGCTCAATTTTTAGGAAGTGACCATTTGGTGGTCTTTTACCACCCCGAAGATAAATGATCGGGTGAAGTCATTTTATGCGCCAGGTCCACATGGCAAGAATAAATATATCATATACTCGTAAGTGGCCAGGCATTTTATCATGTGGTCAAAAAAGGATCATAAGTGTTCTATAAGTGGTCATGACTTAGTCACTGGCTGGCCAAAAATGGATCATAAGTGCTCTAAAATTAGCCATCACATGGTATAAATGCAATATTTGCTGTTCGGTTTTTGGCCACCCAATTTAACGCTTGTTCCAGATGAATTTAAATATTTCTGACTACATAGAAATATTCGAAAACCATAAGCGTCTAACCTAACAAATTTGTTTTTTTAAATATTAACTATAGCTTAAAAGATACCTCGTTTCTTGTCAATATTGGTAATAAAACACCTTGCACACAACCTTGTCAAATTTAGTTGCACTGGTACATCAGACAACAGTGCTACTCATACCAAAGTAGTGTAAGGTCTTCAACGTTGTATACTTGTTATTCTCTTAAATATACTGCGGACATAAGATTTGTTAGAATATAATAATTGTCTTAGTGGCCATTAACGGTGAAGTGGCCACAAATGATGTTCGTACCCCAGTAAACAGTTTGTAAAAATAAATGTTATTAGGTTTATGTTTATCGTAGAATCCTAAATTTATATTTTAAATTTTGAGTTTATGAATGGTTTATATTGTAAAGTGAACCAAGTGAAGTGATTGTGGTTGTTTCTGCGTGGAATTTAAGGATAATAATGATTATATTTTGTAATATTAAAATATTCAGTCAAGGCACATGCCACAACCCCAATGTGGCGTTCTTCATTTATCAATGGAAAATTTAGCCCTGTAAGTAACATAAACAGTAGCCAGTTTTAGCAAGAAAAGGGCCTCAAATCGTTGGGAGAGAAGATTTAAAACATAAAGAAATATATCTTAATTCTCATTACCGAGTTTGGAGTGAATATTTCGCTGGAAACCCTTCCTTTATCAAATTAGTACAAGAAATAACCCTAATGATGTTTACAACATGTTGACGCAGTTTAAATTTATGAAGTTCATGCACAAAGTATTATGTCTATCATGCAATCCTATGCTGATTGTCCTTTATAACCTGATGGGGGATGACAATCTGCCGCTTAGGTAAATAATAATACCTGCGAAGATCATGGACGGTTTTGGATTGTCCTTTAAATTATCCTGCCAGAACTATTTGTGATTAATCCTCTTTTGCTAGATTTAGTTACTTCTCAGAATCCTGAGTTTGTAATTTTAAAATTAGCTGATTATTTACTTCATGAAGTCTTATCTTCCAATATTGATTCCCCACCTTAGAGGCTTACCCTATTATAAATAATTTAAAAAAAGTTCAATATTACTAATATTTTAGGAATGGTGACTATTTCTGTTTAAATATTAATTATTTTTCACTTATTAATTAATTATGAGTTGTTTCCTGCAGCTGATAACCTGAATCCTGCCATTGAACATGTTTATCTAATAATAAGAAATGCTGTTTTGTGCATTTAAAATGAATGAATAGTTTCCTATTTGATTTCGAGCAGGATTAAAAAGACTTACTGTTGACAAAACAAAATCGCAGAGATCTCTTAACAGTGTTTTGCAAATTATATTTCTCACGTTGAGAGCAAAATTTTTCTGGAACCAATCAAAACGACCAGTTAAAATGCAATTGCTATGTAATTTTAACAGTTTCTATGTCAATAAAATATTTCTTACCTCTTCATAATCCAACTTGGACGTCAAAGTAAAAACGCCCGTTTGCGGATTGAGCGAAAAAACGTCATTGGCCCAATCGCTAATGACCGAATAAGTTAGCTGGGCGTTAACTCCCAAATCCGAATCTGTAGCTTTGATTTGACCGACTCTGGATCCTCTAAGAGCGTTTTCTGGAATGTCGAAGGAATAAGCTGGTTCTAGGAACACCGGTGGGTTGTCGTTGGTATCGGTGACCTGCAACAATAAAAAATATTTATAATTGCCATGCAATTTTAATTTAAACCAATAAATAGGGATTTAACGGTTCGATAAATATTTAGGTAATGAACATTTTTGCAATTGACTATATACTTACAAATTATATTCTTTTAAAATAGAAAGAATCATTATTAAAAAAACTGCAGGTAAAAGGTTAAGCTAATCCTGAATAACCTTGTTGGTCAAGATAAATGTGATTGTTATTTTTTTAATCTATTTATATATTTGTGACCATCGTTATTATTAGATATTATTATTTTTGTTCTTTACATATTTTACATTTATGAACCCTTCTCTAAAATACTTTATTTCAATTGATAGAATATTACTTAAGCTTATTCTATAAGCTGTTTCTCAACTAGCAATGAAAGTACTTACTATAAAGGTTGTTAGAAGTGTTATATATCTTATAAAAATATGTAAATCTTAAAATGCGTTTATAAACACTTACGTAATACTAATAAAGTCAAAAAGGGTCCCATTTTATACAACAATTTGATACTATAGAAATTCCACAAGAAAACTACTATAGGACTTAAAAGTTGTATGTTAGAAAAATAGTTTTAAAATATTAAATTTCGACAAATTTAAAAAGTCACTTATTATCCTTATTTCTAATTATTGTGTCATAGAAATTATATATGTTTTTGATTTAAATTTTTAAAAAATTGTTAGTTACATTTCTAAATAATCATTATTTGTCAATATTATATTTTAGGTAGGTATATTATTGATTTTAAAATTAAAAAAAGTTTAATTTTTTTATTTGTTTTCTTTTTGCTGGTGACATATTGAATTTTTTGAAATGTTCAACTGGTTGCGCAAAGTAGATTATTTTGACACTTGCTGCGATTACAAAAAATGTCACTTTATATGTCAAAATTAGAAAAAAATAATTTTCATTATTTCGTAGGGATAATTTTGAAATATTTGTTTTGAATAAATACTTGACCCTAAAGTTATATCAAATTTTAATAATTTTTTTTATCGACAAGAAATCAGACTGTTTTTTGTATCTTCCGATGAAGACTAAAGTCAGTACAGAAACGTAGCAAAACTTATTTAAAACCAATATTTTCAGAAAAGGTAGTTAGTAAACATTTTTATTACAATATACACTTTTACAAGAAAATCTTGTTTATCGACATCCTGTTGCAACATTGTACCTTTTTCGGCAGAACGAACGAGTTTAAAAATTACATACCATACGTTCGATATAACTGTTTACACTAATTCAAAATTATGATACAACGTTTGATTAAGTTGTAAATAATAAACCAGAGAGTGCAGCTTTTATATACTTTAATAAGGTGCACGATATCTTTAAAGTGATGATTATAAGTTATTATTCCGCGAAAAATTATATAATATTTAATTTAAAAGTATTTAAAATACCGTTGTTAAATACGACATTGGACAAATTATAAGCCGTTAATTTGTATTGATGACTTAGTCATTAAGTGTCATTAGATTATGGTAAAGTACCGATGGTTCGAAAATGCTAATTTTTGAACTTAATGTCAATTTTTATATATGCTTCACGGGCGGATTTCAACCGGGCACCAAGCAGGTAGTAGCAGATAAAACATTAAATATATAGGGTGATTCATAATAAATTGTATTCAGAACAACGGTAGAACCGATTGACCAAATGTGACTTTAGTTAAACAGTAACAATTTACAGGGTGATAAAGTTGAAATATTTTAATTGTTTTATGGTAATAATAATGATTAACAAAACGTACATCTAACTGACACGACGCTCTTAGATTGTAACTGCAAATAATTATTCCAAAGTAAAAGTTTGTTGTACCAAAATGAGACTTATGTCAGTTGGTCTAACAACGTCATCATTAATTTTGATTTTTTTTTATCTATCATCACACCTTGTCACAACAACTTTACAAACAATGAAATGCGAGATAAAAATGTTATAGTCAGAAAGACTTCTCAGCATATGAAGCGCCCTCTTGTGGAGTAAGCTAAAAATAACTTTATGGTGACTATTTTCACCACGAAAAACCCCAATTACCAAATGGCTACAAACGCTTTCGAATGAATTAACCCTGTGGTATTCCTCGAATTTGTTATTCTGTAACGTGTGGAGGGTGGGTTACCCCACGGCACGTAGGCCTAATATTACCAATAATAAACATTCACAATTATTTAATTTTTAAATAATACGCTACAAGATTAATAGTTTTATTCCATTTATTAAAATTAACCTACACATTTATATTGTTTATTTACATGTTAATGTCAAATCTTAACCCTGACCTTGTAACAGTTTTTCTTTTCTTCTTTATTTAATATTAATTTTTGTTATTAGGTCAATTAAACTGACTATTGCCAGTTTAGCCATCCTAAAGCAGGAACGTATCTTCTTGGTGCCTCAGGTCCTTTCTCTTGGTTCTTTCTTTTTTGTTCTCTCTTTCTTTTTGGGGGTTGATTTTTGGGCCATGTGGTCTGTATTTTTCTAATAGAATTTTTTCGGATTTTCAACTACCCCAAAAAGAGTTACATTTAGTTATTCAATATTTTATAATTATTGCTTGTAAAATCCAGGATTTTATTACACACATTGTAGATTTACGATACTTTATAAAAGGTCCTACTATATCCGGTAAGTCATCCAAATACAACTTCAATTACATGCATCTCTATAGATAGTTTTATTTATGCTTTTTTCGCTCCTTAAAAGACGAGGGAACACCATAATAAGTTCATGAGTGTTACACCAATGGTAAGTAATTGACTAGAGCAAGAGCATTTGGTGCAATACAAAAATGAACCATCTATATAAGTATTAAATATATACATATTGCACAAAGTACCACAAACATTTCGAAGGTTCTCCCATGAAGTTTTTCCACACTAGAATTCTTTCTTACTTTCTCATTTCCTTCTGCCTTTTCAGGAGTTGGACTGGGATCCCTCCTTTTCGTGGGCCCATTTCTTCAATTGGTTTCTGTTCCTGGCTAGTGTCTTCGTCCCTATTAAAATTGATCTCTTATCAATTCCGATATCTTAAATCAGCTTAACTCATTTTCTCCTAGGTCTTCCTTGTTGTCTTTTTATTTAGTTTCCCATTTCCTACTAGATGGCCATACCAGTTTATTTGTTTCTTTTGGATCTTTGTCATTATTGGCAGCTGTTTAGTTAATATTCCTATTTCTCATTCTGTACCATTTAGTTTTGTTCCTCAATTGTTTCATTTCCATTGCATTGATTTTTTTTTAAGTTTTTTTCTGTAATACTTAGTTTTAGCTAGCACAAATTAAGGTTGGTTACCCCATAGCACTTAGGCCTCACTAAGCCTTTTGTGCATCATCCGAAGATATAAACACCTCCTAGCTCGTGAGCCACCCTACAGAATTAATGTAGTTGACAACGTCGCCAAGAAGTGCTTACCTTATAGCGGCTGGTGTTAGCCGATACTCGCCGAACACAAATCGTCTAATAAATGAGAGAGTCGGGCATTCGTAAAGGATATGCTCAATGGTCTCATCTTCTTATTCGCACTCCTTCAGGGAGTGCGGATTCTGACAGCCTCATGATATGGAGATGCTTCCGTACTTGGGAATTATGCCTGTGATTAGGCGCAGTCTAAGTCAAGTACTTGTTTGCTATAGTGTTGTTAGGAAAATTTAAAAGCTACCTGGCAACTCTGCAGCTTTTGGTTTCATCCCATCTTTTCTTGAATTTCACAAGGGAATGTTCGTTAATTAGAAGGGCCAGGTCCAAAAAGTGTTTGGTTGGTTGCCTTCTCGGCTACTGAATCAGCAAAACGGTTACTTTTTGATGTGGCATGACCTTTAACCGATCTTAAGATGACCACATTGTTAATGGATACTTCGGCCAAAGTTTCGTGACATTCTAGTACTAACCCTGAGTAAATTCGTTCTCCTTCAATAATAATATACAGGGTGTTAAAAAAAAAGTGTCACAAAATGAAATGGTGAATAGTATGACCCAAAATAAGCAGAAAAGTCTTAATAAATATATGACCGCAAATTAACGGTTTCGGAGATACGGACCATTTTGTGTTTATAACAATTTTTTATTATTATAAAAAAACAACGATATTTATAAACAATCAATAACAACATAGAGTTAAATGAGATGTTCAAATACTGACGTAGCGCTTCCCTCGCATTGCCATTTGCACGACCGTACATAAAATGCATGTCAGCTAATTCAATATTAGTGTAAACAGGCATAACGAAAATTTATAAAATTATTCACCCACAACAAAATAATAACTACAAATAGTATCTATGAAAAAACATCGGTAGACTCCGATAAGAAAAGCAAGTTTTTGAGAATGAAAAAAGATAATCAAAAAATGATACAAAACACAAAACATTCCGTATCTCTGAAACCATTCATTTGCGGACATATGTTTATTAAGACTTTTCTGCATATTTTGGCCCATACTACCCCCCGTTTTATTTTGTAACACTTTTTTTTTAACACCCTGTATATATAATAATAAGTAAATTTACCTGATCTTTATATTACATCTTGAATTATTTTGGAAAAAGTAGTTCCAGAGAGATAGATACATGTTTAACCTTTAACTACACGGACACACTGTTTTTATTTTACCCTTCCACCATCTAGTGGGGTACTACGCAACCCGTCCATACACTGTTTCGAAGCCAAGTAATTACTGCTTTTAACTATTCACGTTTTTTATCGATTCATAAGTATAGGAATCATGATTTTTTTCGACCTCGAGTTTTCGACGGATTTTACGTTTTGAGGTCCCCTGAATCCGTTTTGACTATTTTCGCGATGATGTCTGTGTGTCTGTGTGTCGCATAACTCATGAACCGATACACAGAAAAACACCAAATTTTAAACTTAAACTTTGTTCCAGCGTGCAATGAGCTGATTAGATTTTGGGCAGAGTCGGAACATCTGGGGGGTACTTTATAGGTGGTCATGTTTATATTTTATGGATTATATCTGTT